TATGAATAAAAAAGATATAAAATTTAAGCTTTATAAACAAATACCAATCCTTATATGTGTATATGCATATACATTACGTGGAAAAGCATATGCAAGATATCTAAGAAAAGAAAAATATTGAGAAAAGAGAAAAATAAGTTCTATGAGTACATATCAGAAAAAGAACTTTCACTTAAGTTATACCCATTTTCTTAAGTCTGCTAAAGGTCCAGATGACATCACTGCTGGCTAATACACTAGCTAAATTCTTGGCTAGTAAGATTAACATAGTCCTTGTACAAAATATAACCCCTTCTCTGGCAGGAGGAAAACACTTTGCAGGATCTGGAGATATATGCCAATCAGATACAGGGAAAACACAGAATAACAACATTATCTCCAGTTTTCTTGAACGAAAGTAAATTACAAAGAAAAGGAAACTCCCCAAGATTATGTATTTTCTTCTCATATTCATCACCATTCAATATACTTAGTTCGACTCCTTACTCTCATTTTGTAAAAGAGAAATAGTCCAACCAAGTGTTAATGGAAAGGACATTAGTGATCCAGGGGTCAGAGAGTAATCCCTACAGGGGCAAAACAGGCTCTTCAGTGTGTTTTGCTTGGATCTCTTTTTGGAAAAAGAYGGGGAGGAAAGGAGAAGAATAAAGAAGTAAGCAAAAAAGAAATTGGAATGTTTTTAGAAAAAGCATAAACTGTCCAGTTTGGCCATAAGCCTCACCTTTCCCAAGTGTCTTCCACTGACTCCTTCACTCCAATGCTTTGTCATCTGCTTGGCTCCTAAAAGGCAATAGTTCTCACATCTAGTCCAAACTTTTCATTTTACAGATGAGGAAACAGGAATCTAAGAACTTGTTTAACCTGTTAAGTGCCAAGTTTTCGATTTTGTGAAGAGAATTACTTCAAAATTACCATATGTGGTATATTTGTTGCTTGATGTAAGTTTTTATAAGGAATTCTACATTTGGGATAATGAAATCAAATACATCAAGGTCACACAGGTGGTTATCAGCAAAGTAACAGTAATGTAAGTGACCTGCTTTCTTGTTACACATTCTCTTCTCTGAATCCATCATACTTTTTGCCACAAATTCCATCTAGAGGCTGAAACATCAAAGTGTTGAAAGGAAAGAAAGAACTAGTATACAGAATATATATAAAAACTATGTGTTCCTGTCACATTAAAAGTTTGTTTCATTTCCATTTATGCTTATCCAATCAACCACAAGTGTCTAGGTACTTACTACTTGAATGGGTGAGTCATGAACGTAGGTGTTGTTGATAAAGCTATACCCATTACCTAACACAGAAGCAATAGCCAAGACATGATTCTATTATTAAGGTTAGAACATTGTGTTCTAGCAGTTTCTATTCTTTCTAGTATCAGATTCCTATGCTAAAGTGTGCAGAACTTAAAACAGAGCATGGGTTGTCTTTTATTCAGGTTTTTCTTGACTATAAACTAGTATATTTTATACTTTATGACCTGATACAATGATTCTTCGAAATTTAAATTAGAAGAAGGGCATTTGCAATCCTTCCCAATTACAAATGTATTTCTTAAATTGTTCTGTGGATGTTGAATTATGGCTATCTAGAGAGTAAATGAACACATAATCATACTGTCAGAAGACCTCCCAAATTACTTCTAATTCTATATTGAACTTTGTGGTTGCTAAGATATCAGGAATATGTACACTTCTTATCGCACTGGATCATGACCAAAATGAATCTGTCAGGCAATGAAGGTTTCCAGTTTTTCTACCAGGACTCTCATTTTGAAGGAGAGTCAGTTTTTTTCTCTAATTTCTTGCAGAAAGGTCACAGTCAAACCAAAGCAAGAGCGATCTGGGGACACAATCTATTTTATGGAAAGGAGTGTTGCCCAATTTTAGAAATGCAAAATCAATTAAGATCTTTAAACAAACAAACAACAACAGAGATTTTTGGAAGGTTCAAAAGGGAAAACATCTGAAAAGTGTAAAGAAAAGGATGAGAGGTAAATGTGGAGTCTGCACATGGGCTTCCTATTTCCATGGATGCTTCAGCATCACTGGAGTCAAAGAGAGGTAAGAATTCCACTAACATTTTAAAAGCCAGAAAGTCAACTTTGTCTCTGCTTTTTCACATCAGTATTCCAAACACTTAATATACCATAATAATGCCCAAATTATATTTAAAGTAAAGAATTAGAACAAAGCATAAGAAAATTGAATTACTATCATGGAAAATTATAAAAGCATTTTGTATTTTTATGTAACTTTTTGGTGAATAAAAATGAAAAGATACTATTAATGATTATATATAGTTATTTCAAAATCACAGGAATAAGCAGTAAGAAATTCCCAACACTTTATTATTAGCTTTCCATTAAGCATGAATTAGAYAAGACATATTGGTAACAGAATTTTTAAATTATTGGGAACACTCAACATATTGAAGTTCCATATACTGAATGCACCATACTTTGATTATTTAGAAACACAAAATTTTACTTTAAAGAGAATTATTCTGTTTAAAAGTGGTAGTTTACACTTGTGAAGAATTTTTTATTGTGCTTAAATTCAGGGTTTTGTTTTCTTCTAGAAGCTGTTACATATTAGAACCTTACAAAAAGAAAAATGCTACATAAATAATATATCCCAAACCCATTTAAAAATTCAGGTTCCATTTTTAATTCATTGTTAAAATTATGGCTAAAAACTTTTAATTGTTTACCTTTTTTCTATCCCTTTTTAGTAGTAGTGAAATGCTTGAACTATCCTTATGTTGTTATTAAAATTAAAATTTATTTAAAAATGTATTATCTTTGACAGCTGGGCCAGTAGCACACACCTGTAATCTCAATCACTGGGGAGGCTGAGAGAGGAGAAGCCCATCCTCAGCAACTTAGCAGGGCCCTAAGCAACTTATACTCTACTTTCATGTACATCTAAAGATAACAAATAAAAAAATTAACAAAAACAAAAGCAAGGTCAAATAAAAAAAATAAGATAAAATGGGGGTAGAAAAGTAGCCAAGTGCACCTGTGTTAAATCTCTACACACACACACACACACACACACACACACACACATAAGTATTATCTTTGAGTGAAAACTCTTCCTTGTATAATTATGAAAAAAAATCCAAAGCTATTATAGATGTTATTGTAAAATTAACTTGAAATTAACCACTTTACTACATCAAAATGTCTTACATTAAATTCCTCCAGGGATTACAAAAAGGGTTAAAATAAGGTCAAAGGAGAGGTTAAAAGAAACATAATAAACCTTTAAATAAGGTTAAAAGAAACATAATGGAAAACAGAAAATGTTTACTAATCTAAAAAATCGAATAAAATCACTCATATCGCTGTGCACAACATTTTTCTTGCTTACAAATGAAATGCTGTTTCTATATCTAATAGTTCTTCAAACTACCAGTAGTCTGATGAAAATATTTATTAAGACCAATTCCTTTACTCCTGCAGTTTGAATACTTGAGAATGTTGACAGTTTGTTGCATTACTGACAGATGTAGACAATAAATARTAACCCTACAAAGCTTAGAGTCATGAGAAGATTAACTTTCTAATCTTCTTGAAAAATCTTCATTTCACTGCCATGTACCAAACATAAATAGCAGATAATGTGCCAAGCACTGATCCTTACTGCATTTTCAATTGTAGTAACAAAAATATATATAATATTTATAATTTCAATTATAATAATCTATAATTATTTTACTTTCTTTTCCACTAATCCAGAGACCCATAGAGATAGGGACTTGATCTTGCTCCATACTGCAAATCAGCACCTAGAATACCTAACCCATAGTGGGGCACTGAATTAATATTTTCTGAGTAAATTGGGTTCTAAATGCCTTAAGTATCTTTGTAAATGTTAGTTATGACCTAGGTGGTTTGGATATTCAACAGAATAGGAAATATTATATCTACTAGAATAAAACATCTTTAGTGAAATTGTTCTTTTTGTTTACATGTATATGTCCACATAATTGTGCGTGTATGTGGTGCTGGGGATGAAACCAAAGGACTCATAAATACCAGGCAAGCCCTCCACAACTGACCCACATCCCAACCCTGAAAATATATTTCTTTCTATGGGGTAACAATTTTTTTTAAAGTTTGAAAATCATTGCTTTATGTGGATTATTTCATTTGCTTCTCATAATAAACTTGCAGATAATACTATAACTTCCAAAACACAGAACGGAGATTTCCAGAGGTTGTAGACATTGTGCAAGATTACAGACTGCACATATGGACAACACTTCTACGGGTACTTGTTCATAAGGTACTGCACTAAGAAACTATGCATTAGTTAAATGTGATTTCAATAACAGCAATTATGACTTGATTAATAAAGAAAAATATAGGCTTTGAAAGCAGACAGGTCTAAATTTAATACCTGGCTCTGCCACTAATCTGCTGTGTGGGCTTTGGCCTATAATTTAAACTTTTTGAGCTTCAATTTCCTCTTGGGTAAAATAAGGATACACAGATAAGATTATTTTAAGTTTTAAATGATACTGTATGTAAGTGGGCTAGACCAATAAGTAGAAGCTACTGTGATTAAAATAACGTTTATTCTCTCTGGTCCTATAAGTAACAGTCAACCCACTACACCATTATTTGAATGTGTAAAAAGTGTGAATCAGGAATATGTTGGATTAAACATCAAAACATGGGAACTGGGCAAAAAAGGGACAGAGCTGTCCAAGACTTTTTGCTGGCACTGACTGAGAAAGACGCCAAGTCAAGATCAGTCCACCTTGTTGGTTCTGGTAACTATGGAAATCAAAGGAAACAAGGTTGCTTAGCCGTAAAAACAACGTCACACTATTTCATCCTCCTCAATATCACAGCAACATTCGTCTTCTTCCTCTGCATCCTGGCTGGAGCCCAAACCAGGTGTTATGAAAGGCACCAGGTCGGCTCCCGCCCACTAACGACCTGGGCACCTAGGGGCTAGGCACAGAGGTTCGGAGCAACTCACCCCTGAGACTCCGTTGATATTGCCCCAGAATTTCCTCCAGGGTAGAGTTCCCTGGGRAGTCCGCCATGCACAGACTCTGGGCCCAGAGATGGGAGTTACGCAGGGAAATGTCCAGCGCACTCCCTTCAGAGAATAGGCCTAGCGCCGGCTGAACGCCCGCCTGCTTCCTGCCGCTGCAGTCACTGGRGAGTCTTGGAACCCCAGACCGAGCTCCCGGGGGCTCTTCCTACCCACTGTCCTTCATAGCGAACGTCGGGAATTGTAGTTCTCAGCTAAGGGCCCGCTGCTTCGAGAACCCTAGGAGCCTTCTAACTACACTACAACTCCCAGAGGGCACTGCGCACTGGGCGCCGACCTCGACCATTTGGCTGCAGGCGTTGGTTGCCAAGAGACCGACTCGGAGGTTCCGCCCTTTTCCTCTAGCCCAGCCTTGTTTAGTCCCTCCTCCTCCCTATCCTTCTGAGGTCGGGACTGTCCGAGGGACTGAAAAGGCCCCCTGAGGCCTTGACACTTCAACGTGTGCCGCCTTGCAGCTGATCCCTCAGCCTTCTTAAGTACGCAAATAACAAGCTCTGGGCACTATTCATTTGCCACATTGTCCAAAAGTCAAATACACCCTCAAGAAGGAGAACCTCAAAAAACTTCCTGCCTATTCCTTTCTGGCTGCCAACACTACACCTACTAGCATGCCTAGCAACGCGACCTCCACTTGGAGTTGGCGCACCGCCGGCTGGGAACTGTAGTCCTTGTAGGTTGCAGCTCGGGCTATTGCCAGGGTCCTCTTCATTGTTCCAGCTGATCTTAGGGGCACGCCTGCGCACTGTGCAGCCAGGGAAGCGTGTGGGTGAGACCCTCTGCACAACCCTTTTTCATTGTCTGGGCTTAGCGCCTGCGCAGTAAGAAATCGTTGGGACCCGGCTTGAGAGGATAGGGCCTGGCTCCTCGCCCTTTCCCGAGGCGCCTGCGCATTAAGCGCCCGCTCTTGCCGTTACCGCTATGTGTGGGGCGTGTGTAGAATAACGTTATTGCCCAGCGGAGCTGAGGGGCCTGGAGCTCGGCCGCGGCAGCAGCGACAACGACGACGACAGCGGCGACGACGACGACGGGGTGGGGGGAGGACGGCGTGCTAGCGACTCACGGGACGCAACGCGCCCCGCCTCCCCCGTCCGGTCCCTCTCTCAACGGTGAGGGGTAAGTGATGCGTCGGGCTACWGGGTGTCGGCGCCGCCAAAGCCACTACAGCGGCTTTTCCTCCTCCTCCTCCACGGATACTTGACAGGGACTCTGGGCGCGGCCCGCGGCTGAGCCTGATGCGGGGCCGCCTGCCAAGGGGGTGCTTTCCGGATGCTCCGTGCAGCACCACCGCCCCTGACCTGGGGCTCCCATCCCCCATCCCGTCGCTGCCCCCGGCCTCCAGTTCTGAGGCCCCAGGCCTTCTCTGGCCCATCGCCACCGTGTCCACTTCCCCTGAGTGTATTGAATCATTTTCAGGTCCCTCCCTTCTTTGTGCAGCCCTCCCCTCCGCCGTAGCAGTTTGCGAAGGATGTGTGGGGGGGTGCTTTGTAGGCAATGGCTGCGTTGCTGCTGGAGAAGGGATTTTTTTCCCGTATGCCCATCCCTTTTGTATGGTTGGTTTCGGGGTGTGAGGTGGCTAGGGGAGGTCACACGGGGAGCCTTTTGGACGTGTCGGGAGGGCGTGGAAGACGTGGTGTCACGCACCCAGCCAGGCGACTTGCACCCGGCGTAGGCTGAGGCTCTGTAGTAAACCCGGGGAAGGAGAGGGTAGCTTCCTGTGGGCTTCATTGTCCTCAGATTCAAATGTAGGATTTTGGTGTGGTTCCCTTACATCTTCTACAAGGGAGCTGGGAATATTAGCAGCTGCCAAACACAGGGCGGGAAGAAGTGGGATTTATATATCACATACAGATTTATCTCATAATCTATTTTCCTGGTGTTCATTAGGGTTTTACTTATTTTCCCCATCTAAGAATATAAAGATAGAGACTATACCCGCTGGAGTTCAAGTCTGTCAAGGCGATCGATATAAGATTACTAGGTAACTATGAAGACTAAGCTAGGAATGGCCTGACAAGGAAGCTGATGTGTAGCCAAGAAGTGAACCAGCAGAATTGGTTTTTTTCCCCCCATTGGGTGGGTATTCTTGTTCCTAAGGGACTAGATTAGGATAATCTTTCCGTTTTATTTTATTTTTTAACAATCAAAACAAAACTTTGGTATATTGTTTCTGAAATTGTTTATCTTTTATTCTATTAAATGAAAATTCACCTATTTGGAAGGAATTTGTTGAAGCAGATGATACATTTGGTTGAAAAATGCATATTTTGGGGCTGGGAGCTGTAGCTTGGTGGTAGAGCTCTTGCCTAGCACTTGTGAGGCACTGGAATCCTCAGCATCACATAAAAATAAATAAAATAAAGGCACACTTTTCATCTGTAACTACAAAAATRAAAATAAAAAAAAAGAAAATGCATTTTTTAAAATGATTTGAATCTTAAGCTTACACCAGCAGAAGACAGAACAGAGAGGAGCATATGAAGTAATAGTTACCTTATGAATTACAGTATTTAGATTTTCACTGAAATTACCCTACTTTATACTTCGAATACTTAGAATTCTGGAAATAGTGCATTGATGAATAGCAAGTTACAATWTTTTTTTTGCCATTATTTTAAAGAAAACCAGAACTGCTTTCAGTTTTTTCTCACTTTGTAGATATTGTAGAATTTTGGTGGTATAAAATAGAAGAGTCTGAGTACACTTGACAGACAGGGGAAGATACAAATTCAACTGGAAGACAGAGCCAAATAAAACCAAGATCTATTCTGCAGTGTGGTTTCTCCTGTGCCACCCTAGGCCTCCCACCCTGTACAAACTTATGAAAAGCTTCTCTGACTGCTCTTTAAGCTGTCTGTGTCAGTGACTTTGATTTTCATAGTTGGGTTAATTTAGTCATCTTTGTGATGTAAAAATAGTAATTTTTCTGAAATGGAACTTTAGTTTCAGAAAGTAACTTCCTGTATAAAGAAAGATGCCTTAACATGTGCTTTTCATAAAAAGAAAGTTTTGGAAGGGTTTTCCGGTTTTTTACTATAAAATATTTTAATATTATTTCTTGAAATTCAGTGAGATTTTCTAATAGCATGATCAAGTCTATAAACTGCAAAAATAAATTTTCACATAACAAAAATATATGAAGTTTATTTTTTTTATTAGTGAATTCTAATGATTTTCAACTTAAACTAGAATTTACCTTTTAAGAAACATTAACTTTGTTTTTTATTGGGTTAATTTTTATTACACAYTGCTTTTTGGTTGCTTTAGAATTTTAATTCTTTAATTCTACACTGTATTTAGTAGGCATTTTTTTTGAAATTTATTTCCATAATTTAATCAAACTTTAAGAAAATAATCCATAATTAAATTCAGTGTGTGAAATTATATTCACTCAAACTTTAAATGTGTTTTATTGGTAACTTTCATGGTGTTCTAAAATTATTTTACATGGGAATAACTAATCTGCATGTTTCCTGTCTTAGAACTAGAATAATGAAATGTACATTGTATACATAGGCATTATTCTGCATCAAATCAAGGTGCTTTCTGAAATTCTATGTTTAGTGATTTGTTTGTTCCTTGTGTGTTTCTTATTCCTTTTTATCTACCAGAAAAAAAGTTTTTATTTTGCATCTGATAGCAATCAGATGAGTTCCCATATAGTACTAAGTGCTGTATTTGTGTAAGCTTCTTGTCTATATGTTTTTTTTTTTAATTCAGAAAATTCTTTTCCAGGAAAATAATTTTTTCCCTTTATAATTAATGTGTAATTCTTTTTCTTTTTCTTTCTTTATTTTTGTTGGTACTTCAGTTCTTTTTGTTTTTTTGAGAAAGGGTCTTGCTAAATTCCCAAGATTGGCCTGGAACTTGCAATTTCCCTGCTTTAGACTTCTGAGTATATGGGATTACAGGCTTGTGCTATCACACCCAACTCTTCCTTTTAAACACTGGGTTGTTAAACATTGCTAATAAGTATCTAACAGGATGATACTTAATTGCAGACTCAAGTGTCTGTATAGTTGCAAATTATTCTAGAAATATAACAAAAGGTCAGTTACATACTATCTGAAAATGTTTCATGAGTAGATAATATGTATCAACCTGAGAATTATAAGAAATAGGTTTACTTTTAATGGGGAGAAATCTCTGATCATCTTTTTTTTATTAATCTTATTATTAATAATGAAGATTTCTTAATAACTACCTATGCTGAAATGGGCTTTGATTTATTAACTCAATTATTCCATGAGGAATGAGTTTTAACGATGAGTTAGCCATTTTGATATGTAAAGAGAATAAGAAAACATCTGTGGTTGATTAAGCTGGGTATATTGTCCAGTTTAGTTGAAATGATTGTGCAACAGTATAATTTTTTTTTAACTCAGAGTGAATAACATAGCTGTATTTATAAAGCCTACTTTTATATAAGCAAAGGTAGAAAAGAAACCAACAAAAGGTTAAAGAAAACCTCATAAAAATTACACGCAAATAGAGATTGCATACAGTGGAAAAGAATCCCAAGCATGCATTGCTTATATTTGAATAGCATATGATACATAGCAAAGAACAGATTATTATTTAAGTGTATTGATAATTAACAAATTACATAGAAAATATTGTACTTTGGGACATAAAGTTTATTAAGTGAACTATACCTATCATGTATGGAACACCTGCTAAATGTCAGGCTCTGTGTGTGTGTGTGTTTGTGTGTATGAGAGAGAGAGAGAGAGACAGAGAGAGAGAGAGAGAGAGAGAGAAAGAGAGAGAGAGAGAGAAGAGAGAAAGAGAGAGAGAGATTGCATTTAATTTATGCAGCAGTCTTAATAAACATATTATAAAAATACATTTAATTCCACATTTAAAGTGGAAGAAATTTGAGGCTGTTTTTAATGTCACATATAAAGGTTAGAGCCCATAAATGAACCTYTGGCTTTTTCACTAAAGCCAAAATTGTTTCTATTCATCTTTTTGAATTGGAGCTTAACCAGTCATCCATAAAATATGCCACCCACTACTAATATTCCTTAGATACTAATGAACCTAACTCTCCATGAATACTTCCCTGAACATAGAAGAAAGACCATTTACCCTTCAGAAA